CATCCCGAACGGGATTGAGGATCAACAGGGAAAAGGACGTGATGAGTATGCTTCTCCAGATTTCCGGCTAGGAAGAACCCTTGACCCGATGTATGTCGTATGAGACGTAACAAGGTCGAAAAACGGCCTAAATTTGACGCAAGGCTCAAAGGGCGGTCTTGTCGACGTCCACACCCGAGGGTGGACGTTTTCCAACTGTGTTGTACAGGCTGCACTATTGACAAAGGAGCACACATTCAAAATTCGAGCAGCTGTTTGAGATTCATGACGGCAGTGGAAAGCTGTTTTGACAATGTCTGCTTACTAAGGCCACCAATTTATGCAAATGCACATGACCGAATACTCGTCCAAATCCCCCTATCATACCGGTTTCTTCATCAGTATCTCGTACAATCTCCCTTCTTATCTAACCTCACAAACCTTAAATTCTGCGAAATTTCGCGCTTCTTCGCCATCGATGCACAATTCCACACCAATCCATTCGTAATTGGGCTTGAAAAAGGTCCTCAAAATTATCGTGGACTACGTCAATCGATGTTTACGGCCCAATGTAATATGAAAGGCGTGGAGTAAGCAATTCTGAGAGAGTGATCAATCGAAAAGTTTACTATCGTTTGTGGGGTGAAAGTGGGTTATTGAGAGAGAAAAGGTAGGCATGTTATCGTCTCCTTCTGTCGAGGTTAAAAATCGACATGACTCGTCATCGTCTGAACTTCTGGTTCCTTCTCAATTCCCCTCAGTTCTCACGCAGTGATGGAATGGTAAATGTGCATGGGCACCTTGGTGGCGGTAGCATACGAGTTTACTTCCCTTACCCCTTTTCAGTCGCCAAACCAAAGCAAATAACCGACTCAGCCACTCTGATACAGCCAGCGAAGGATCTCTATTCATCAAATGTAACACGAGTCACTGAGCGAGGTCACACCTTCCCCGTGTATTTGTACTAGGTTCGGGGAACCTGGAAAGGAGTCCAGAGTGTGTCTGGACGAGATTGTCTGTACATATTAGCAGTCCGTCGCCATCGTTATAGAAACACGGTCGAACTCCACTCTTAGCCATACTTCATAATTAGCGGCTCGGTCTAACTCCTTTCTCCTTACTTTTTAGAAATCATCCAGTGGTCTACAAATCGTTTACACGAGCGGAGCTGGCGTACCCGTACACCGAGGCTCCGAATGTGTCCGACGATTCCTTATGACCCATGGCCACTAACACCCCATGGCCAACTGGCGGTTACTGACTATTAGGGATTCCCCGCTGCGTCGGCCATCATAGCAGCTCCTGAAGCTTGGGATGCGTTACTGATGCCGTCATCTCAGTTTCTTCGGAATCTAGCATCGTATTGAGACGGCAGAGGCTTATTTGCTACTACGTACATATTGTACTAGTGTAGGCGCACCCAGTGAAGCATATAGAATAAATAAACTTCTTCGTCATCTCCTTGTCCCCAGTGTTAATCCTGGGCAGTCGCACGGTCCACTGCTCCGTGAGGTGTCGCCACTATCGCGGGTCTGGGGCATCTACTGCCGTTACATTGGCTTTGTCCTTCTTAATCTCATTCCCCCATCTTTTCTTTGGGCTCATCGGGGTCGCTTACAGTGGGCTTCGAATTCCACGGCTTCTTTAATCAGATGACCTTACATTCTTCGTAGGACGTGTCCACATGAACGTAGCCGCTGTTCCCCTATGTATCTTCGCCTGGATGGGAGCTGTCTGCATTGCTGTTCTGAAGTCCTCGTTTCCAACCCGGTCCATCCGTGTCCAACTGCTGTCCCATCTCAACATCTTCATCTCTGCGGGGCGATACTGCTTTTAATAAAATAAATAAACAAACAAGTAAATATCGCCCATTTTAGAACTGAACTCAAAACAATTTGCTGGCAGCAGGGATTGAAAGAGTCGAAATTGAGCATTGCTCAGACCTCTTTATTCATAGCGCTCAAAAAAGGTCGGGTGTAAGAATGAGGGCCTAGAAAAATGCAAAAAACGCGGGGCAACCTTATAATAGACCACAATATTGATGCCAGAGTCATGAGGACATCTCAGAAACTATTTGTAAGAAATCCCCAGAGTACTCTATCGCTATGAAATCTTCGTTACTCATATCTACGCGGTCGTTGAACAATAATGATATACTGGATAGATAAGAATGTTCGACATATGTAAACAACGGGTTTGTTACCAGTTCTCTTCTAAGTTCTTTTCTTATCTGCCCAAGCGCGATGAACTTTTTCCGGAAGAGAGCCAGCCTCCTCAGATCAGTGCCCTTCATGTTCATGCTGGACCCTGCCCTGATCAAGAAATCGTCCCTTAGTTAGATTCTTCTCTCGCGCCTATTGGAAGATGAACCCGGATTCCTAATTCGCCCCACTTAATCAAGATCTGTCTATGGTCATCCTCGATCTTCACTAACCCGTTTTGTTTCGAAATTTCCTTATCATTTGGCTACGTTCACGCTGAAAAAAACTATCTGTCCCAAGTTTGACGGTTTGAAGTTCCGTTCAATTAGATGCACTCCTCGTCCATGAGATCATGAATAATTCTTCTCGTCTGTGCGTTTAGTCCATGTTGTCAAGGTGAGAATAAGAGCCTAGAAATATGGCTTCAATAGAAACAGGTAGACCTCCTCCGAAGGAACTGGATATAGATGAACCGTCATCTAATTTCTAGTTTTTTCTTGGGTCACTTTCACTGATGTATAAAAAAGTTCACCCACAGTCTAGATGGTTTCCGAAGGTACTTGAGAAATCCTCGCGGCAACTCATAGATGTGCTCTAGGAGGAACTACAGAGATGTATCAGTTGTACAGAGCACTCTCCGAAACCTCTACAAACGGGAGCTCCCTTTACTATCTTGTTAGCTAATGATAATCAGAATCTCGGCAAGTGCTTCAATCGATCTCTTGTTTTCGGAGGGAGAACCGCATGCAGGACCCGTGTTTTATGGCAAAACAGAGCGGTCTCAATTTCTTGCGTTCTATTCAGGAGTGGTTTCAAGTAATGGGTAGGAGTAAACGATTGATCAGTCTGGTCTCGCGCTGCAGCCTCATCAGAGACCCACGAGAGTTTTATTTTGACGTCTCTACCTCAACAACCGACAGTACAACAGCGAAGACAAGGCGGCAGTATGGGCTGCTTAGAACAAGATCGGTGAGACCGGTCTGCAAATCTACCACGCCTGACAAAATGCATGAGGTAATACTCTGAATAGGCTCGATTCCTGATTTCATTGGCGTCCTCTTTAGTGTATAATATCCACACACTTTTGTCAGAATGAAAAATTTTTTATCATCAAAAATTCTTGGGAGTCTGCGAATCTCGAGTGACCACGTATGTTTTCTTGGATACCAACTAGTCGAACCCGGAGAGATGGAAGCTTGGTTAGCCTGAGCGCAGGTTGATCCGGAATTCGATCGTGCACCATGCGTAGGTGACGGTGCTCCATTTGTCATCACACCACACACCACAAGCCTACCTCATATCAAGAATAAGTTTACGTTTCAGTTAAACTACAGAAAAGGAAGTAAGTTTGATAAAAGCACTGTTCATGATAAATCTAGATTCTAAAATTCTCTCTAGGATGAACTTGTGAACCTTAAAGATCACCAAACGGCGCAACGATATCGAAAAACGGTCCAGATAGCGCATAATAAGAGCCCCAAAAACCGACTTTCCGACGTACACAACCAAAGGCGGACGTGTTCTCATGCCATTATAGGGCTACGGAGCTTGTATCATTCGCACTGGGACGCACACATTGCACACAGGCAGCTTACTGTAGCCAGCTGTACGCAATAGCTCACATATTTGGATTGCTCGTCCAACTATCCCTTTCATGCATTTTTTGTTGTCACATTCTCGTCCAACCTCTTTTACTTCTTTTTGAAGCCTTCTAGTTCTCTAAATATTCCAATTTTCGCGTTTTCTTTGCCACCTCTGCACCATAATGTCGTTTTGAGCCAATCTTCATGACACTTAAGTCGCACTGTCAATAATGTAATCAACCACCGCCGTTTGTTGCTGGTGAAAGGTTTATACTATGTCTGGGCTCTTCATTCAAGATTGTATAGTAAAGTATGCATCTGTAAAAATCGATGAAACAGCCAGGCTTATTCAAAACAAGTTGGCATACGCATAAGAAAAGCAAATGCCTGAGCTGAGCGTTTTAAGGCGACCCACTGACAAGTCCTCGGCACGTCTCTTGCCAAATTCTCCTTAGAGATCCTATTGGATTTGTTAACGTTCCATAGTTCGTGAAATATTTCGTCTTTTTACAAGAATATTTTCAAATTAGGCGTATAAGGTAATACCCGAGAAATAACGCGCTCCAATGTTAGCAGCCGCAACGCACACGCGGGCACACCAAAAGCACTTGACCGGAGGCTGCCGTGAAGTTTTTAAGTTAACAGTTTCAGTCCTTCCTCATAAATTCTGTAAACTTTCACTGGGTAAGGTGCTGTAGACATTTTTAAGGCTCGCCATGTTAATTTCAAATATAGCCTTTGAAATAAGATGTACTTAGGGGCATATCCTCAAGAAATTGCTGTTCTTCACAATACCCTCTGGCAAGCAAGCGCTTTTGCTGGAAAAAATCTTAAGGTTAATTGCAATGAATCCTTGAATTCCTATGATATCGTCTTTGTTCAATTCTATCTTCACCTAATTCTCTTTACCGTTTTAGGGGAGTAGGAGGAAGATCTACGGCTATTTTAAGGATTGTCAGCTGATTTCGAAGTGTCGCTTTTTTGAAGCAGAATCGAAGTGCTGATCATTATTCAAACAGAGATTTCTGACAATTTTAAAGCTTGGGGAAGCGGTCCAGCGCAGATACCTTTAGAAATCTCGTACGATTGTCCTGTGAGTCCGGCTAATTTCTAAAGTTCGACCGTTTCATTTTTGTCGGCTGTCGTTTGACTATTTCTTTTCGTCGTGATATACTATTTTTTGAGCACACTTGTCATTCATAATAATAACCTGAAATGCTATGTTCATCAATTGCAGATGGCGAAGAAATTCGAGTTCAAGTTTGATCTCGATGAAGATGAAGAAACATGGCTGACACCACAACTCTCAGAGAGGACGGTACGTATTCAATTGCTTTTAAGTTGAGTATACTGCACTGGTTAGTCGCAGCCACCTTTTCAGCGAATAAGGATGACGAATAGTATTTTTATTGGGGGCTAGAAAATTATAGAAGATTTTTGATTTCCATCCTGGTATGCTCGGAAAATTGCCTCCAAATGCTTCGAATCCTGAGAAGTGTTTACAGACTTTGGTAATTTTATTATGCTTCTAGGAGATTTATAAGAACTTTATATAGATCTCCATATACATTATATTGTTCTCTTGGCACAGCTACTCTACTATAACAGGAATTTGCCCTTTGTTTTGTCCTCAACCGCTATTCCATACCAGCGTTTTTCAAATTGAGAATGATCGTCATTTTCAAGGCTTCTTCCATAAGTTTACAACAGAAGTAGTTTTCTGTTCAAAAAAGAGATAGTTTTGTTGATGACTGTATTACAAGAATTCAATTTGTAACACACAGTCGTAAGATGAAGCTTATCTTACTTGGTTGATCAATGGGTTAGAAATTTACTGGAACGCTAGCTTCTTTTCTCATCCCTCTTACAAACCCATAATTTTGAGCAGTGTGCTGAGCTCCCAATCGTGAATTGATCCTCGTTCTCCAGGGAAACGATTAGTGACGTTACAGAAGCTAATGCCTTTTTCTAGTCATGTTTTTGTCGTTTAGTGCTGACTATTATCATGCATACCAGCGAAAAATGCTTGGCAGTAGAGGGCTAAATATACACGCATGGCATGAGGACTAGCAGTGATTGCGTTCTACATAAGCTTAATGCGATGTGTCATTAATAGGTAGATTATTAGGCTTCATATTGGATCTGGATTCGCTTACGCTTGACTCATTTCTATGAGGTGTTCATCAATCGATAAAGAAGTGACTCGTTTCCATGCAGTTTTTTGTTCTGTAGCCACGTTCCGATTCGAAAGTTCGGGAATGATTAAGTTTTGCCGTGCCTCTACACTATTGTATAGCACCGTATTTGATATTTTCATAATGGTGTTACACAGTGCATACAAGCTGTCATCTATGAAAAGATGGATTCAGATTCCCCGTCAAAACCAATGGACACCCTAATAAGCAACCCTAGACGATCCCTCCAACCCTTTTCGTGCGACATGTGCATTTCATTCCAGGAAACCTAGAACCAAGAAAGCCAGTCTCTGCTGACTACAAGCATGGTAGCCAACAAACTGTCGGGTGATCTGGCACGCTCTGTTTTAGTCAAAAGAGTTTTATTTTATTTCAAAAAATCGATTCAAATTGGATTTGTACGGTCCAATCGGATATGGGAGTTGGTTTTGGTAGCCATGAGTAGGACGCCTAATGTGTTCTGAATTACTTGCTTGCCTTTCCATACGATTCACTCACTTATATGGTGTTCTGTTTTGAGAAGCGTTTCCTTGATTCTGGCCACAGTTGTTATGACCCGACTAAATAAATCAGTCACAACTTCGATATAGGATTTCGACCTCGTAATAACCAACATTTCGGTTCATTAAAAGAAGTTTTGAGCGTATCTTCTCCCTCGGGTCGATCACGCTCCATCGCAGGGCTCTGTTATTGCCGAATTCGAAGTAACGACATCTGCCGTTAATTTAATTCGGCGAGCTCTTTCTTGATCAAATCTCAACTTCTTCGGGGCTCCTGATGATCTCGAAAACAATCCTTCTGAGCTTCAAACTCCACATTTTTCTTATGGGGTAATCGGGTGGACTACTTTTTGAGAGGTTCAGATTTCTAGAATTCTTTGAAAAGGTCGCTGCATTGCAAAAAAAAGGTTTGACTAATTCCACGGTGTTTTTGTATCAAATATTTTCAATTTTATATTTTAGCTGTGAAATTAATTATTTTAGCTAAGAATTATATGCTTCATTGAAAGCATTTCAGGTAGGCACACAATCGAAACCGGTAGATCTGAAGGAGTGGTTTGCTCAAATCCCAACATCAGATCGAGCATCGCTGCTCAGTAAAAAACTACAAAAATATGCTCAAAAGCGAGGTTTCATTTTTTCCAATAATTGTTTCTTTCATAACTATTTTTGCACTAACATTTTTCCTTTTCATCCCTGACGTATTTAGTTATGCGCCTGCTACTTAATCCAATCCCTTTTTTCGATTCAACTATTCTTTTGTTGCTTACATTTTTGAAGTCGGACTTTGCAAATGTGCTTTTACTATTTTGTCGTATTTCTTAGGCCTTTTAATTCCTTTTTTCGTCAGTTTCCTTTATGATTAGAATATAATCCATCTAATAGTGGTAGTCTGTCCATCAGTTTCTTTAAGATCACAATGTAATCTATCTAATAGTAGTAGTATACTAGCGGTATTTACGTTTACATGTGGTAACACTCGAGCAAAGCACGCTGCACTGTATTTTAGCACTTGTGGTGTGTCGATTTAATCGCTTGTAATCGTTTTGCGCGCTGGACATCTTCCTTTAGAACCCTCCAGGGAAATCGCACCAATCCTTTTCCTAGTCCTCAGGAGTTTCCCACGGTCCCTTGCTTCGATTTAGGTAGTACGTGTCAGAAAATGGGGTAGGAGGAAATGCATGGGAGGGACAGGAGGTTCTTTCTTCAAAGGTCATACGTGTAAAATTGGTTTTGCACTTTGGGTGCAAGTAATAGAAAAAAAGGGAAGGAATCGTGTTCAGAAAGTTTCTAAGCGATCACTTTACAGTCTTTCTTAGCAAGTTCAGGTCTCCCATTACTTCTTGTGCGATGTTCAAAGTAACATTCTTAAGTGTAACAATACGCAAAGAGTATGTATCCATGAAATAGAGCTCAATGATTTGCTGATTTCTTCGAATAACGGAAGATAAGTGTGTATAGAATGCTTTCAGTATGTTTTCGTTCATGCTAACAACCACGCAATGTTGCGAGTTTTAGCGGTAGATTCACTTTTTTCAAATGTAATTCAAAGTTATTAAGTCTAGCCTATTCAGTCGCTTGCATGTCGCGATTATTTTTTTTTGGAGTGCGGAATCGGCAAACCTGCCTATTACGTACCTATGCATGTAACAATCGCATGACTCACTTAGTTCGCGTTTGATTTCAGCTGCCAGAAAAGGGAACGAACGTCTTCGCAGCGGCCAGTCAGTCTCATTGGACATTGTCACCGAAGAAAACGGAAGTCCTCAGTCGATTTCGCCTAACACTGATCATCAAAATGATATGAAAGGTGCCGAAACAGCAGTAAAGGCACCAACTGTTATTACAACATCCAATAACGTCGATCACATCAGCCAGCAGGAAAGAAATGACTCTGGAATAGCCAACAACACCGATCACTTTTCATCGCCGGAGTCGACACCGTCAAGTGCTCACTCGAACAGCAATATTATCACTTCAACACCGATGCCTTCTGGTGATGCATCCAACGTCCCATCACATTTGCCCTTGTCGAGTATTCAGAATCCAGCCTCCGTGGGACAGATTCTATCGGATTCGGATGATGAGTTCTATGACGCTTCCTCTGATTTCATTGACAATCCACCTCAACAATTGATGACTTCTTCGCTGCATGAAGACCAGCTCAACGGTAATGGCATGCTGCCGGATGATTCGGGTCAGTAGTGTTTGGTGGTTGTTTTGTAACTGTGGTAGGTGTTTGTAGTGAAGTGCCTTGTAAAATGCACACCGCGATTTTTCTTTCTAATTCTTGTGACTATTCTTTCTGAGACGTTTGACTGCGTTGAGATCATTCGTTTTGCAATGAGTTTGTTTTTCCCATGCTTTTTATCCTGCGGAGGCACCCTAAAGCAAAGTTCCTGCCCTGAATTAAGCATAAATCACAGAAACTTCGAAAAAAAGTTTTTACGTTTTTCAAAAGTAATGCGAGAACGAGTTTTCTTCGCAGGCATTTCGGTTGTACGAAATAGTATGACCCAGTCACTGATGAAGGTAGAAGAGGAGACGCCTGCCTCGCAGCTCAATGTCCACACAACTGCCAACAGTAAACCAGTAAGGTATGATTTGATTGTCGCTTCGATTTCGCTACTTATCCGATATTTTTCCCATTCATTTCTCATTTATCAAATTCCTATTCAATGCTCTGACGGTCTGTGAGGTTTTACGCTCATATATCACCGTGAGGGATATCGTGATGGATTGAATGATTCCTTGGATATGTCTAAGGGGGTAAGGTGTCATTTGTATAGCGTATTTGACTTTCGTTGTGGGTTCCGCTTATTATGTTGAGTGATCGCTGTAAGTTCATTTGTTAGAAGTGTGAGCGTTGGGAGGAAGAGTTAGTGCACAGCTGCTGTCAGGTCAAAGAAACTGTGTTACGCATTTCTGTCTCAGAAGACTAAACTCAGTTGTTATTTATGACGAGGAAGTGGCTAAATCGGAAGAAGTCATGGATGATGTAAGCCGTGGGCGTCGTATTAAATGCCTCGTTTTATTTGAGTTTGGCGAAATTCCGTAGCTCAGTGTATTAGTTTTTCAGAAGAAAATTCAAGCTTACAGAAAATATATAGAGTTATAGGTATAGAAGAGGTTGCTATAGAATATGCTTTAATCACAAAAATCTAGCGTTTACAACCCATCTTCGACGATGGGCGTTTTCCAATCCCCTTCTACCCCACTTTCCCCTTTCCTTTGACTCATAACTCCTTCCTTCTTGTTTTATGAGAACATATGTACGTGAAGGCGCTCAGATTGGAAAAGTAGTGTTCTAACGCTATGTAAAATAGTTTTCTGACGCCACTTGTTCAACTTTCGCTGCTTCTCTATTTGAGAAAGAAAGATTCGTTTGATGCCACACGTTCTTTACGAAGGTTTTACTGGTTGGACGTCTCTCCTACTTTACCACACGACTTCAAACAATAGTGCTTGGCATTGATTTTTTCTACGGAGATGCAGGATTTATAGCCTCTATGTCTTTATCTTCAGAATCTATTCTTCTGCTAATTTTATATTATTTTGGCTCTAGTTCATTTGATTCTTGTATCGACAGTTTACGTTTTAAGGGCAAGTTCTGTCAGTCCGCGGCCGACGAGTACGTTCACAGCAGAAAACAGACCCGTACAACCAACGGTGCAACGCACAGTTCCACCATCGCAGCCAGCACAATCAAGAGGATCCACGGAAAGCATCGATCAAGTTGGTTTTCGTTTATCCACATGAAAGAGCTGTGTTTAAATCTGGCTCAGATAAAAGACTTCGAGGGAATACGGTAAACGTTTCGGTATTTATCGAGTGTTTTGTCTAGTACTTCGGTCGTACTGTGCATCACTAATCCTCGTTTTCGTAACTTGGTTGTTAGTTTTTAGGCGTTGGTTCGTTTCGTTTGGGGAAATTCCGTGTGCTTCTAAATACTTTAGTTGTACTAACCAATTTTCTAATTTTTATTAACGCTTTGTTTTCAAATTCACAAACCTTTGTAGTCACGCAGCCTTCAAACTACCACCGTAACACCGCTTTCATCTCGATCTCGAGCTTCTACTACGAATAGACAGCAAGTCAGACTTTCGAGACCTACCTCTTCTCTGCGGCCATTGGCTAATCATCAGCGTACATCCGAACGTCCGCCACAGCCAGCAACCGTCAATCAAAGTCATGGAGGGTCAATTGTGCGTGTGCCTAATCCGAAAGCTCAGGTTTGGGTGGCCTTAATTTTTTGTGCCATAACAAAGAAAATACTAATTTTCTGAACAATATTTCCGTTTTTAGAGCTCGTACAGCTTATAATTCCTTATTGAATAGCTAATGGTTGTGGGTTCATTACCTATGTTCAACTAATTCACTAAAAAGTAGCATTGATTATCGCGACCGGCCGATCAGTACAGCGCTCATTTTTCGTTTTGTTGTAATTTTAATTTTTGACGAAATTGACTTTGAAATCGCACAGTGTAGTTTTTACAATGCAGATTTGCTTTTTTTGCGTTCTCACCACTTTGAATCAGAAATCTTTCAATTTAAGCTTCTCCAAGCACTGATATCCACTCCTACGACGAATAACAAGGAAAGGGATAGGAACAGTAACTTACCGCCTTCAGTGAGTACATTTCTTCGCACCAGTTGATTATTTTCTTCTGACTCCCTTCGGCATTTAGTAATATCTATTTCAGCATGACCACGTGAACTCGCTGAACAATCGTCCGGTATCGGCACCGCGTCCATCGCCCCAAACTGGTTCTGACATACCGGACCTAGCCGCTTTGCAAGAGCTAGCCAGACAGCAGGAAGAAGGTAGTGTACGTTGAGCTATTGCTCATCTCAAGGTTTTATTAGATTCAATTTAGTTCTTCCAATGGTATAGGGACCACCTTAATGTTTATTTAAACTGATATCGGCCATAGATGGTGTTTTTCGTTACTTGTCAGTTGGTGAGGTGATGATGTTTAGCTTTACGGCAAGCTGTAGAACGACAGCAGCACGGTAACATTGAGCGCAAACATTCTTGGCAAAATGATGCAAATTCGGTGAGACTTCTTCGTATTTGTAGTAATTATGATCGTTTAGTGAATGATCATTGATAATCTTTGCCTCTCTTTTAGAGGAGCGTTCATTCTTCGGCTGGTTCACTTGTTAGTAGCAAATCTGCAGATATGTCCGCACTTCACAGGGTGAACGCGAATCCAGTATCGGTAAGTATCATGGAATTTTTATACGCAGATTTCCAAACTTTTTAGTATGAATTGCTGAATACTTTAAGAGATTTTGCGATACTTCAAATTTCCTTTACATTTGATGTTCGGACTATTTTGGGCTCCATTTCGGATTTAATATTCAATAAATTTCTTGTGTTGGCAGATACGTTCCGGGCTTTATTTTAATATCTATCAATTTCATTCTTTGTTTGCGGTTTTTGAAACTCAATAAATAATAGCTGTGGCTATTATTTTTTCATTTTTTATCATTTTCGATCGTAGCGCCCATTATTTTTTCTGCCGAGGACTTTTTTGCGCATTGCGAATGATTAATGAGCAAACGTCATGTTTCACCAAAATCATACGCGTTTTTTCAGACACCACCTTGACTGAATTTTTCTATAAAGGTTAATATTGCAACCGTTAATGTCATCTTCGCTCAAAATTTTATTTTTTTCTAGTTCCTAAAGTTTCTCTTTCCAGAGAATTCCTGGTCCAACCCGTCTTCCTAGAAAAAGTGGAATTCCGGCGCCTGCAAAGAGGTTACTAGAGCTTCGTTTTTATTTTCGTTTTTTTTTCGTCCTACTAACTTTTACTTCGAGAAGGTTATCGTCAGTCTTTTCTAGACATCGAGGCACTCAGACCGGTAAGCGCCTAGGTTGCTTCATTCTCCTCAGAGAATCATTTTTCTTTCCAAACACGTTTTTATTTTATTTAATACTTTGCTTTATCACTTGTGCGTTAAAATTGGTGCACGGGCTGTCAAGTACTTGTACTACTGCATCATTACATTCTGCCTCGGCTAATGTTCTGTGCGGTCTGCATTTCATATTTTGTTTCCTTGTGAAATAGTGAGTGATTTTACAGAATTGCAACTCCTGCACGCTGTGCTTCGGCCGTCCCGCAGCCTACCTACGATGATGAATGTTTCTGACGACACCAGGGTCCACAATCCTCTTGCTATCTCGTTTCATAATATTTCATTAATTTATCGAGGTGAGTTACATTAACGTATCAAACATTTTCTCAAGTTTTTTTTTTGCTTCATTAGGATTTCGGGGTAAATCATACGAAGCCTTTGGTACTATCTTTTCGTAAAGCCGAGATAGGGAATGGTTGCTGGCCATCGAAAACAAGGTACCCAGGAAGAGGCGATTTTTCGCATATCTAAATGTCGAGTTTGAGGAGTGGATCAGGTGTAGCGCAACAAGAACAAGTTCAAGACTGCGGCAAAATATCGGCACTGTTGACATAGGCGTTCATTTCGTTGAAGGGAAGGAAGGAGGGAGAGGAGGTTTTGTATAGAAATCTTGTAATATTCGTGGGAAATGAACCTGCACCAATGATTTGAGCTGAAATCTGTAGAAGATGGGTAACGTGATGAGGTGGGCATCTTTTTGATGTAGGACTTGTCTCACTAAACGTTGTGTGTCATAAAAAGCCTAAAGCCAGTTGTTTCTGAAAAAAATGAACGTAGCTTGTTCGTGTCTTCCAAGAACTTCACGAGCCTGACGAAGCAGGGTAGTGATCAGGGGATGAGTATTGCTATTTCTCTTGTTTGCTGCATTTTTAAAAATTGCGTAACGACAAAAATTGTGAGCTAAGCCTTTTCCTTATATTACTGTATGTCAGTTCTACGGCGAACTATTCCAAAAAGTTTCTTTCCTTTCGCTATTTTTTCGATTTTGCGATCCATACTTTCTGGTTTCATTTGGTGACTGCTAAATGTTTAACTTGTTTTAGGTTTTATGCCTTGATGTTGTACCATATGGGTGCCTCCAATGAGCTTCGTCTTCTTCGTCATTTTCGTGCACTTTTTGTGATCGCGTAGATAGGTGTGTCCATTTGGGATCCTTTGGATTTTTTCCTTTCCTCATGCACTTAGAACGATATTTATGCTGTATATTTGCGTTTTTAGCGATGTATAGTGATATTGATGTTTGATGATAATGAGCCATATTGACCCTAGTACGAGTCTTTGAGTAACAGTTCATCTATCAGTTCCTCTTTGAAATCAACTGAAAGGTGTTCTTTTACAAAAGAACCGAAGTACGCTTTCCTCACTAACTGTGAAAAAGATTTTGTTTCATATAGTTAGAGACATGTTTATGTGCTTAATACTCCTGTAAATAGGTAACTATTAGAATGTTTGAATTGTAGAAACGATTTTGCTTCACTTTTGTTGCTTTATGCCAGTCAATCACCCGCCAAAAGTCATTATTCCCAGGCAAAATAGAAATCTCCGTGAGGACTTTGACCATTGCATACCACTCTGTATAATATATACTCTTAAATACCCGGTGAATTAACTCCACTGATGAAAGTCTTTTTGCTTGCTTTCTGGGTACTTGAGAAATAGTTAGCATGTTCAATAAAAATTCATATTTTTGCTCATCGGTTTTGTTTCCCTACGTAGGTTGTGCCTATTTGGCTACATTATTTCTTATTCTTTTTGAGGATGCCGTTTTGTAGGGCAAGAGTAAAGATATGAGCGATAGAGATTTTATTCTAGTTGCTGAAGAAATTTTAAATTAGATTTTTGCAATAGAAGAATTCCCACATCTAAATTTCTTTCATATCAATGACAATATAGCGGAGCTACTGTATTGCGATTTGTTTTTCGTACTCTAAGCATAGCCTTTGAATTATATCAAAATATCATTTCTCGAAGCCGACCACTTTAGCGATGTCTCCCATCTAACAGTGAGCGAGGGTCGGTTCTGTTCTCATGTAATCATCACAGTGAGTGAATGTTCGTTCCCAGAGTACAGTCAGGAGCTTTCTTTTCACTGTAGAAGTGCATTTCGTGGACTTTTCTTTGAATCTATTGATTTTTTTGAGAGTGGTCTATGGTTATCGAAGCAGTTGGTTCGCCCTTTTTTCTCATGAGTGTTTTTATTTGCAATTTGATCATTATTTTTCTTCCATCTATCTTTTTTGTCTTCTCACAACCAGCCGGTAATTCCACTCAATCCGTTTTCTGGCTATGGCTCGGAAAGTAACGCTGGGACAGGTAGCCGTAGGGGTGCCGGTACTTCTTCCCGAATTCTCATGTCAAGCGGCAGTGGTTCTGCGGCGACTACCATGCCCTTTTACTGCAATTTTGAACCTTTTCCTTTCTAGCACGCGACTGCGTGCGATCGTGGGCGACGAGCGCGACGTGTTTTTCGGGAAGAAGTTACCACACCCACGCCTGATGGTGAGTAAGATTGTCCAAGATGTTCAGCCCTTCTTTTTGCCATTTTCGATACTTTATAGCAGTTGTTTGCTCGGTTCGCTGTAGTATAATGCCAGCAATCGCTGTTTTTTCCCGCATAGGATGCTCAGTTCTTGTTTTTAATTGGAGTGAGAAGCTATCGGATATATGGCATTTGAACAACAACAATATCTAATTCCCATTGCTTGGCCATATCCTGCTGCACAAGAGCACTGAATTTTTTATTGGAATTCAATTGGCTTTGTTGTTGTTCTGGCATTCTATTTACAGAAATCTAAATTACATCCTTCCCACGATTTTTTTGGAAAATCTACAGAAACGCACAATTTCGCTTGATTTATGAATTCCGTACACCCTTCTGTTTTAAGTATTTCAAACGTTAGTTCTCCGTATAGTTATCGTGTTTAACATTCCAATATTCGTTTCTTTTTGTTTTCAGAGGTATGAAATCTTAGATTGGGATCCTCCTTTACCCTTCTTGTTTAAGGAGAACTTGCTGTTTTCAGAGCACAGTTTATTAAGCTAAGGTTGTTCTTGGTTGTTTCTGATTGGCGGAAGTTCTTGGAGCCTTCGGTGAGATTATTCGGACTGGTAGGCTTCTTCCATTAGTTGGTCTTTGCTTTTTACTTAAACAATGTCTTAAAGCGTATCCTTGTAAAGGCACAGTTCACGATAACTTTGAGGTACCCCTTTTAGTTCAAAAAGCGGGAGTATAGGTTGGGAATAGTTCATCAGTAGTGAAGAAAGCGAGAAAATTCGCCAATTTCGAGGGAAGTGAGGCTCCTCAAAAGTAGTGGAAATAAAGCTTGGGCGAGATTGCCATGACGAAATAACATGGGAGGGGTATTCGGACGAGATTGCAGTTTTTGCAATTGCACAAAGAGCTGACTACATCAAGCCAGAACTAGACAGAACTGCCTCTCACTGTCGCTATGGGTCATGACAAGTTGTTTGAAGTTCCTACATGGGTTCCCCTGTCGATGCAGCTTCTTCAATGCCAGCGAAATTCGTTCGCGCATACACGCGGGACAATCTTTGGGCCTTTATAACGTCCTAACAAGGCCGTTTTCCGTCCTGATAGCGCAGGATATGGTATACGAGGGGCCTAGAATTCAATCTATAGGGAAATCTCTGAGACCATTTTTATCATGAACTGTGTCTTTAAGTGTCAAGCCCAGTGTATCCATCCGTTCTTATACAATCATTCTTTGTACGCAAGGTCAAAGTGCCCATATGTTTAGCTGGTATTGTTGTAATGAAATCTCAAAAACTAAGCGATTATCCTTTCCCCTTTAGGAGGAAACTGTTCCAGAGAGTGGGAGAAAGCTTCTTTTTGTGGTGAATGCTTTGGGTAAAAAGATTTTCTGAGTCTTTGACCTTAATCAGTTCCCTTTTCAAAATTCGCCCCAACATCTGACTTCCACTCTGAATCGTAGTGTCGTATTACATACTTGACAAAACCATTGTCGGCCACGTTTTTACTCTTCAAGAATAGCTTAAAACCTAGAGCTATAACAGAGCTTCGTTGCAGTACAATCCGAGGGAATCCAACCGTAAGACGAGACTCAAAAACTCTCGAGTACCACCGTCACATCTCTGCTAATTTCTAAGATGTATCACATTTCAGTGTGTTTGTCAGTGAAATTGTTCTTCCCTTTTTTACTGGCGGGGTGATGTAAAGTCTGTCCCTTGTGCCCTGTAATTCTATATTCTATATGTGGTTAGGAAGTTTTCTGAATCACTAGTTTTTTCCAGAAAATCTCATTTGCCATAATCGTGTCTTCAATTATTTTCCCCTGGCACAAACCTACTGAAGCGGAAAAGCCCACTAATGCTGTAGCTGACGGGATGTCTAAACAAATTGAAATAGTTATGTTTTTCTACTCAAACCCGATAGAAGTTATTTTGGAAGGGCGAAGGTTTACGAATGTCAGACATAGATTGGTTATGGGGAATGACGTTGGAAAATACTCTTTTGGGCTCACGCTGAAGCCTTTCCTATTGAAAATGGTAATGTTACGTCCGCATCGGTGTCAGGAAGCCACGGCGGGCATGTATCACTCTGAACGCTTTGCGTTCGCGCACCCAATTGTCATTTATTGCGGGTTGCGATTTGCGACATCGGTGGACTCATTACTTTTCTTTTTTTCTAGAAAATGTTCTTCTTGACACCGCAATTTTTGGCCAACTCCAACTTTTTTTCTCAATGAGCGTTTTCCAAAATATTATTTTCAAATCCGGTTTTCCATTTTTCCGAGAAAACGTTTTTATTTTGCCTAGACCGTCCTAAAACTAGTTTGATGGCGTGTGTCTCCATAGAAACTGATTGACGTTCATTTGTCTTGAACTTAAATTGAGATTAATGACAGCTGGCACTTAGCGTGTCTGTTATGGACTGAATAATGGCCACAATCCACAAATCCAAAGGCCAAACAAAAATTGAAGTATGCGAGACCCCAGGCTCCAGGCTGCGCCGTAGAATCGATGTTTTACCAAAATTACGTGCGTGTAGTGAAAGTGGCCACTATCACACGGGCATGGTCCGGAAATCGGATCCCCCACATCGATACTCGCTTAGGTCTAACGAGCCGTCCATCCAAACGGGTTGAATGAGTCGGTATTAGACTCGTTCGGTAGGATGAATGCACTGAATTATACATCGGTCGGCCACCTCAAGTCATTGTATAGGCCATATGTGCTCTTTAAAGAAAGCGAGA